ATTCAGCCTGTTTGGGAGATGATTGGGATGAATTGACACGTTGTATATGCTCGTCTGGATTTGGGGAAGAGGCTAGTAGTTGTCAGCCTCCATGAGTGTGAACACCGGCGCCGGAAATCGCGATTATTTCAGGCAAAATCGCGACAGTCACGACTGGCGAAGAAATTGTTGCAAAATTAACAGGTTTGGGAGTTTTTTGGAGTGAATTGGTAGCATGGGTAGGATCTTATATTGATGGGCAGTCGGCCAGTGGTGGGTTTCGGCCAGAGGTTTGGCCGGAATCACGATTCCCGACTTTTTTCATTTTCTATAGCAGTTTTTTTCTTGACTCGATTTCTTGCAATTTTGTGGATGGAATTTCTTGATGTTTGGATGTATTGGAAGCTAGTGTTATGGGCTTGACATTGGTGATGTCCGGCGGCTTTGGTGGTGGTTGGTGGTCATTTTTTGGAGGAGGAAAGTGGCCGTAGGGAGGAAGAGGCGAGAAGAGAGAGAGAGATTTTTTATTTTTAATGTTTTAATAAGGATTTTGCACTAATTTGCACTTTTTAAAAAATTTAGGAGCATGACTACAATTAATTCTTTAGTTTTTCTTTTCTTTTCTTTTTGTTTTATTTGAATGGAGAGTAAAATGGTCAAAATATGGTGAAANAAAATATGGTGAAAAGGATGTTCAGTGCACGAAAAAGTGATAGGTAAGGGTATAAATGCCAAGAAATGAAAAGTAGGGACGGTTTCCAAAATCACCCCCAAAGGTAGGGACATTTTGTGCTAATTAGCCTTGTTTTAAATCAAATGCTTAATGTCATCAACATGCAGTGTTAAATAAACAAATTATACATCAAAGACATGTAATTAATTCAATAAAAAATGCTAATCTCTTCCAAAAATATTATAAACATAAACTGCAAAAAAAAATAATAACAATAAAATAAAATAAAATGAAACTTGCATTAGGCTCGGGCTTCAAGTCACCAAATCTCAGAACCACATAATTTGTCATTCGAGATGAAGGGGGAATAAAATTCTGCTTATTCCTCTCCACTAAGGTCCTCAAATCCACACTGCAACACAATCACCAAAGCAATATAATAATACTCGCAAAGCACTATAATTAGCAATAAAATACAAGAAAATTTAAGTAAAACATATTTATATACTCCGCTAATTTCCTTTTTTCTAAAAAATAAAGTGTGATTTAGAATCCAAACCTAGTGGAGAAAAAAAATGCCCTAACAGGTATGGGAGCCTTGGAAGTTTCATTACATTCATCCTCCTCTTCCAAAACGTCTAATTCCTCAATCAAATTTACACCTCCCCCAATTTGCGAGCACGAAACGGTGTCGGTCCAGTCCACGGTGTTGGCAGAAGAATAAATACATTTGGGCACAGAAATCCCAGTATTCCGCCTCAAAAGAGACACCCTTTGGAAGCAGCTGGAGGAAATTGATTTCGAGCGGAAAATAACAGAGAAGGAAAACTGGGTACTGGGATTGGTTTTTTTGCAGAGAATGGAGGAAAAAGTACGTGCAGAATTGAAAGGAGAAAATACGAAGGCCGACGATATGCTCTTGCCGCGGGATGTTAATGTTATGAACCTCATTTTTCAGCTGCTGTGTGGCTGCCGTTTGTACGTTTCTTCCACTATCCGAGGCTGGACTAGAGGAGGAAGTATACAAAGGGGTGTCAACTGTGGCACAACAAAATACCCAAAGGCTAAGACCGTGAATATAGCGAGGATTTTTCAAAATGACCTAGGAATAGTAGATTTTTAAGATTTTTGTTAAAAAGTCAAT